ACTGCAAATTCCTTAGGGTGGTGCTAGTCTCATCCTCTTCATCTTCCCATGCTCATCCTGGGGGCTAAGGAAATGCTTATCTCCCTGAGCACAGCCTTCACCAAACCATTCCATCACAATAAGAGAGTCACTATGTGACAAGACCCGATTTTACAACCATTTTACAATGGACGTAAAACAAATCACTGGAGTCATTAAGCAAATCATGTCATTAAGCGAATCCAGCTTCCCCAATGGACTTTTTTGCCGGAAACTGGCAAAAAAGGTCGCAACTTGTAATCACGTGTTCTCAGGATGCTGCAACCAGTCGTAAGTGCGAGCCAGTTACAAAATACTCGAATTGTGATCACGTGACCACAGGATTGGTACGGTGGTTTGTCACAGTTGTAAGTGCGAGTACAGGTTGTAATGCACTTTTTCCAAGGCCGTTGTAACTTCGAACCATTGTTAAACTAATGGTCATTAAGCAAGGACTGCCTGTCGTGTATAAGTAGTATTGTGTAATGAACTCAAACCATTGTGTATTTAACTTGAATCACTGTGTATTTAACTTGAATTTTGCTATAGTAGGCTCTGTTCTTAACTATGGTTCATCCTTAAACCAGGCGTTCTTAACCCGGGGACTACATGTATTGTATAACACATTTGCTTCTGTATTTTGATTCACCTTCTCCCACCATGAGTTTTAGGATTTATTTAGAGTTAGTGTTCTCAGTAAGCATACCATCTGATTAATTCATCACATTGCTTTGTAGCTGGTGGCCTGGTAGTGGTAGTGGTAATGGTAAATAGCTGTTGAACTAAGCCATCTTTAAGTTATTGAATATAGTAAGTATTATCCTGTTTTCCTCCCCTATTTTAATCTGGAGGAAATTGACCTTTTTCAGCTAGTTACTTGGAGTAATTATTCACTGGATGGCAAAAAGATTGTAAACCTTTGGCTGTCTTCCTTGTTTGATCTTCCCATTTTTTTTCCTCTTCACTACTTTGCCAAGAGATAGCCTGGCCCATTTTATAGGTACGTGAAACTCTTCTTTTGTCTGGATGGAGAACCGTGCTATTGAGCTCTGTTTTCTATTAATGAAACATGAACATTTTTAACTCATAGGGTTGTTATAGAAATCTATGAAGATAATCTGTAAAAATAAATCACTGCATTTTGGCAAATTATGGCTATCAATACAGCATTGGTACAAAATATTAATGTAGAGGTAAGAATATAGCAATAGGTTTGTTCACAAAGAAGACCATAACCAAAATAAAATAAAACTCCTGCATTCAGAGTCATTGTGCAGGATCTCCCAGTGATCTATCCATTTTAATATTTCTGCTTTGTTGAATGGAAAAGGGAAAATTGTATCTTCAGAAAATAATTTATGAAGAAAGTGGACCTTTTTTATTTTTTAGATTGGGTTCACAGCTATATTTGGAACCCTTCATATATGTAAGGAATTTTCAACGAAGCTTCATGATGTCCCAGCAATTCGTTGCACTAGGATATTGTTGTTTTGTGCCATGTCTTTCTCCTTCATTCACTCTTTTATCCTCACATCTTAGTTGGAAGGTTAATCCTGTTCTGAAATCTTTCCTTTTTTATTTTTAAAATTGTCCTAGTCATGATTTATTTTCTGACGCTTTTCCTTTTTTAATGCTTCACTGTAGGTGGACCAGTGCCAAAAGATATTTATCAGAGGATAAAAAAGCTTGAAGATAAAATTCTTGAATTGGAAGGGATGTCTCCTGAATATTTTCAGTCTGTGGTAAGTAATGTTAAGTCTAGGTCTCTTGTTCCAAAGAAGCATGTATTGAATGGCGATGTGTATGTCTGGATCCACAGTTTTCAAAACAGCCTTGTTCAGTTCATCTGAAGTGATAGCTCTGCATGATGATTTCCATCAAGGTCAATTGGGCTATTAGCAGACACAGGAATTCTGTGTACACACTGGGAAATTCATGGGGTGTTGTTTCAATAAGATTGATTAGCTTTTTAAAAGTGTTCAGAGTGTTTTCCTCTTACATAGCTGTGAAGATTTTCTCTTAACAGCTGATCTACCAAACAGCCACGCATGTACCACACATGTAATACAGAGTTCCGATTTGAATTCTCTTTCTGGTTAAAAACCAAAGCTCCATTCAGTGTAGAAAATTAACACATTAGAGAGAACAGTTAGATTTTTTTCTTTGATTTGCTTGTTTTTTTTACTGGGGGGGGAAGAGAGAGAGAGAGAGAGAGAGAGAAGACTGAGCAGCATGCATTGAATCCTTTCAGAAAGATTAGAATAACAATGATAACCTGTATAGTAGAAGCACTTTGTTCCTGATGGGAGATGAACATGCACGTTAGTACACTGAGAAGAGGTTACATGAGAAAAAAAATTAATAGCTCACTAATTCCCATTCATAAAAGTGTGAATCTTTCTGGATGAATAGGCTTTAGGTTTCACTAATGATGGGAAAAGGATAACTACTTTTTATTAAAACTACAGTTCTGTTGGTAATGATATGATATTTATATTTGGATTTTTTAACAGAATTTGTCTACGAAAAGAAGGAAAATTCAACAAAATCAAGTGAGTCTATTTGTTTCATTTATATGTGTTTATAGTTACAGATTTAGAGATGCTTTCCTGACCTATGGGGTGGAGGGTGTATCTTTAATTTATTCAGAATGTTCTTTCTGTCTACCACCCAATGGGTTACACGCATATTCTAATGTGTCTTCCTGCAGTATTAATGTCAGAGTAAAACTTGCTTGAGAGGCTTAGTGATTCTAATCTTTGCACAGCAATGTGGTCACAGCCAAAAACTCTTTTGTCAGGGATATTTAAATTTGGTTCTCAGATTATCGGTTTAAATAAACAGCAATTGTGCCACAATTTCCCACATACCATTAGTGCTGATATGGACAGTTCTCACACTAGCTATCCAACTCACATAAAAAGCAACATTTTGCAATTGCCTGTGTGTGTGAAAAACTTACTAGAAAGGTTCAGTGCTTCAGATGCAGTTATTGAAAAGGTGCTTTGGATCATGCAGTGTTTCAGGAAAAGATGAAGCAGCTTTAAAGAGCTGCAGATGGGGGTTATACTGGTGTTACCATATGCTCTGAAGAACCTTTTCCATAGTATTTCTGAAGCAGTGCACTGATAATTAGCAGTTACATGGATTCCACACACACCTGAATCTGACTTGAACAGATTTTTTATTGTAATGTCTGTTCTTCAAACTACTGTTTTTCTAAGATTGGATCTCAGTTTATAAAGTCAAGATTTTGTTTAACAGTTCATTAATAATTTGAATTGACAAAGTCTTTTTCTGAAACATTTTAAGTTGTCATGGAAATTTTCCCTCTATAGCCAATATTATTTATGTCAGGAATTATCCTTGTCTTCATTAGAGCTACACAGTATTTCAGAAATACTTTGGAAAAAGTACTTCAAAGCATAAGGAAGCATGAAAATAGCACCTGTCTGCACCTTTTAAGCTGTTCCCTGCCCCCCACCCCAAGGATTATGCAGCTGCCTTCTTTAGCTGCCATGTAATCCTGAGAAAAAATGTAGCTGCTTTAAAAAGTTGCAGGCAGGTGCCAAGAGTCTATTATGATGCTCCTTTTTGGAACTGAATCTAAAGCTTTGCACAGCTTTAGCACCCATGTGACTCCCACACATACATCAAAGGACAGTTTCAGTGCTTATATTATAGTTACTTTGAATTGCAGCTCACTTTTTAAAATTAGATTTAATGTTAGATCAAGACCACTATATAAAGTCAGGATTCATATCATGGTCTGGAATCTAAGTTTAAATGACTGTTTCCTACTTCTGGCAGAAATAGGAAAGTCATTTAACCTTAGATTATATATTAGATTATTATTATGTATTATGTATAGATTATATGGTAAACACTAAACAAGCTTTGAAGCTGGTGTAGAAGAAGATTGTAGACATGTTGCTTATCCTTTTTCCAGATTATTAACTCCAAGCATGCTCACAATTTATTTCTTAATTTAAATGTTTATGCTACAAATTCATGGTATTAAGCTCTCATCTTTTTCTGAATGGCAGAACTATACTCTGGCTGAACTTGATGAGAAGATCAATGCACTCAAGCAAACATTGCTGAGAAAAACAAATGAAGGGAGGCCCAAAGTGGTAAATCAGTTTCTTTGATTATGGCAATAAGACTTCATTATACTTTCATGCATATTTAACTTTTTTAGACTGAGTAATGTTTATCTAGCTTTTATGGTAGAAACTAAACATGCACATGAATTTATCTAATTCTTACTGGAAACTTGGATTAAGTAAACTTGGTTACTTCTCCAGACTGAGAATGAAGAACGTTTTGGAAATAGCATTATAAATATCTCTTCTGCATTACTGAAAAGGAGGATCTGTAGAATTTTTAATAAAAAAATAAAATATTTTGTTTTCAAGTTTTGTGTTTTATGCTGATGGAGCAAACAAATTTCTGTTGAAATATAATTCTGGCAAGGAGTGTTAATGAAAATGTGACTGTTTATTTCACTAAGCTATGTAATACATGAAGAAAAATAAAGACTTCTTGTAACTATGAAATGTCGATGGTACACTTAAAGAGATGAGGATTCTTCTGTTGGAGAGGAACTGACCATCTGTAAGAGATTCCTTCATGAGTTAATACTAACAGCCTATTCCGTATGAAATTCATATATCACTTTGAGAGAAGAAGCACTTGCCAAGGGTATATGCATCCCTATCAAATCAAATGATGCCAGTAGTCAACCCAGCCATCTATTGCTCACTCTAACTGTGGCTTTTTGAAATCTTAAGGCTGAGTGTTCTCAGTTTTTTGTGAGTAGGATTTCTATAGGTAAAGTATACACTTGTCTGGGAAGTCAATACTGAAAGAAGGAAAAAGAGCACAATTATATATATAGTTATGTTCTGAGGTCTTCATAAAGAGCCAGTGTATAAACGCTGCCATTACCTACTTCATCCCTCAGCTTCCTGCCAGCAGAATTTGTGCTCAAACTTTGGCCTAATCTTCTTATATCAGATTTCTCAATAGATAACGGAACAATGCCCTTTCCCCCCTCCCCAGAAGGCCATGATTGGTATTATACCAATCTTAGAGTAAGTAAGTAAAAAAATGTTGAGTGCTTTTCCAAAAAATGTTTCTTTAACCACAAAGCACTTGGGGATCTTGAGTAAATCATTTTTTTTCAGTCTTACCTGTAAGTGAACTGATTGAAGGGAATGAGATAGATCTTAAAACCTGACATCTTTGAAGGACAAATAATGTTGAAGATACCACAAAGTTCTATAAACACTACTAGGGGCATTGACATGCCTTGCCATCTCCAAAATGTGCCTTTTACTTCTTTTGCAGGTTTCAGGAACATGAAGTGGGCCATATATCTATGGCTTGTGACCAATGTGTTCAGGCTTGTCACAATTATACATGAATATTTATAGGAAAATATCCCTCCCCCTCATCCACCAAATTTCTCTTTTTGTCTTCAGTGTTTTCCCTTTAGAGAGAGAAAGCCCACAAGGGCAAATAATTCAACCAGTAATGTTTCTGAGGCAAGCATGCTTGCAGCTATAGCATCTGTTGGGTTCTTCCTATGTGATCTCCATGGAATTGAATGTGTAATAATCACAGATACTATAGCAGCTCTTTAATTAGCTTACTTCCAGGCTAAGTTCAAGGTGCTGCTGCTTATGCTTGAAACCTTACACATTTTGGATGCAATATTTCCAAGGTAATAGGCCATCCTCTTACCTACTTCTCTAGTGACTGAATTCCCCTCCCTCCCCCCAATCTTTGCTACAAGTGTTCATGCCTTTGGAGGCTAAATGCCATCCATAGATATAGCAAGAGGCAGTACACAGTTAACCTTAACTGATTAACCCTCCCCTCCCCCTCTCAAAATAATCAGAGGTGAATCTTAGTACTTGGATGGGAGATCACCAGGAAAAGTCAGGACTATATGCTAGACTAGAAAGTATAAAACAAAACAAAACAGGAGACCTGGAGTCAACCTCAACTGGAATGGGTCTTGGTAAAGCATAACTGTTGCTGTTTCAAACTTTTGGAATTAATTGCTGCTTGTGGTATGCCCTGTTTAGAAGCTTGACATCTATCTGCCTTTTAGGACAATCTTATATAAAAACAAGCATTTCTAGCCAAAATCAATAGTGCCTAGATGTTTTACCATTGCGCATGTTGCCTTTTTGACTCAGTATGATAGCTGCAACTATACTGGAAAAATGTAGTTTGGCCTTATCAATTCTTGGCCTGGCAAACTCCAGATTAAACATATTATAAACGTGTTATATGGCTGTAGTTGAAGAGAATTTTGAAATTCCAATTCATTCAAAATAGAAGTAAATGGCTTAACTGAGCTTGGGTTTTATGATAATGTTAAATCTCTGCTTTTCCAAGTGCACTGATTTCCAGTGCATTTTATCAGTTAGAATCAAGATATTTGAGGGAACACTGAACTCCACTTATGTGGCCAGTAGACTAAAATCTTTAAAGCAGCTATTACTTTGGGTGCCATAACCTTTTGAGGAATAGTCCATTTTTATAAAGAGCTAATTTACATGTAGGGCCACCCCAACCGTGGAATGCTGCTCCCAATGAGCTGTAAGAGCTATTAGAGCTTCCATTGGGTTGCATTATTCTCTGTCTTGATAAGGTAATGCTGCTGTTTCTTTCTTTGGAAGCTTTAATATAATTATGGTTGTCTAATGCAGTTCAGTTGAATTGAAATACATTATAAAGCAATAAAGAAAAATACTCAAGAACAAAACTTAATAGAAAAAAGAGTCAGAAAAGCAAAATGATATATAGATGTGAAAGGTTTTAATGGAATTCAGAGAAAATACACAGTGATAGTGATGAATCACAGTTGACTGAGCCAATCAGCTAATGTATTTCAAATATTAACTGGCAGAATAATCATAAATTTGGAGGGAAGAAGGAAGTGAAACTTCCAGTGTGTAAAGGGGTGGGGGTGAAGGATTTCTCAACTCATCAGATCTTTTTTTAAAAATGTCTTTTGCCCGATCTTCCAGGTGGTCATAGGTGACTAACCTATTCCTGGGCTCCTTTAATACGGAATTTAATGTTTGAATCAAAAACTCCCATATCATTCCTGCTTCACCCCTGAAGTCAGTGGTTATATGAATATGAGTTTCTCGAAACATAATTGGGTTCTCAGTAGTAGACCCAGACACATATATTACCATTAAAGCTCCTGACTAGTAGCAAGAGGTCCCACAAAAAGCCATCTAAAAGGTTTAGCTTTACTCTTTATTCTTTTGTGTAAATTCAAGCAGGTGTAACATATCATACTGACCAATAATTTCTCAACACACAAAGGAATTGTACCTAGCATGATTTAAGCCTATGTACCTCTTCCATTATTTGTATTATTTCAAACCATAGAGTTGGAGTTCTTCCTATGTTATAAACTCATGGATCTGTGAATTAGATCCTGTGAATTATAACTGGAGAATATTAGAAAGTTCTTCATTTTACATACAATAGTAGCACCCCTTATTTGAATCTATACAAATGATTCAGTGCTCATGAAATGAGAATCCAAAGGAAGAGGATAATTACTCCCGCCCTCTTCAAGTGTGTGCTTTGATGCCTGAGAATGGAAGAGCTGGTTCTCATCTGTATTAACAGAATAGGAAGAACACTAGAATTTCACATCCTGAACTACAGGACAGAACATTTCACAAAGGAGTAAAGTCAGCTTTCTTCCATGTTTTGCAGTTATCTGTATGTACAGCTTCAAAGAGTCTTCAGTACTGGTTTGGTTATTATTGTGTCTGTTTTTACAACACCTTTCACTCTTAGTAGAGTAAAAGTCAATAACCCTGTGTGAATGAGTCTGGCTGGCTTGCATTCTTGTTTTTAGTTTTATTTTGTAAGCTGCCCAGAGTAGTGGTAGATCAGGGTGGCCTATACATTTCATAAATAAATAAATAACTACATCATTATCTGGTTTTATAAAAGCTGTTCTTTGAAAATCATGACATGCTGCTTAAAAATAGTATTTTTAATAGCTTCCAAAGAGTATTCCAGATAGGTAATCTAACACACTGATTGGTCTTATGTTATTGTCTAATTCTGGAATATCTGCTTTTGCAGTCAGTTCTTCAAGGAAAGGAGTGGTTCATCTCTAGGAGACTAATTTTCTATAGCTGAGTGCAGGATTTTAATAAATAAACCCAAAAGTGAAGTGCCTATTTGAACAGCCCTCATATCAGCAGGAAATATGAGTGGCTTGGGAAATTTGAACCATTCAGTATTCTGTCTAACATTGTTAAGAACAGTAATAGATTTTTTTCCTCAATAAACATAAGTGATCTCTTTGTTTGATTTTAATTAAGGAACTGTACTACCACTGAGTAGTTTTCACTCCTAAATGCTAAGCAAATAATTTAGAATAAAAACTTAAGAGGTAAGCAGATTTTTAAATAAATAAATAAAATTATGCTTGTCAAAGAGAAAACACACACAGCTCCCACTGGACCAACCCTACCATTAGTCAGAGTGAGCCAACTCTCAGGCAGCACATGCTGCATGAAGGGGGCGTAATAGAAAGCTTTTTATTGGGTAGAATTAGGGTTAGTAGGTGTGGGTTGCAAAGCTCCAGGCAACCACTAGATGGCAGCAAACAACTCTTTGCTACCCTCTAGAGACATCTGGACTTTTGCCGTCCAGGTCTAGTTGGCCTACAGAATGGTGAGTGTGATTGAGCCAGGCCTAAACCATTCTAAGTAGTCTGCTTCCCCCAAGTACGGTAGAAGTTGATTTCCCTTTTCCTGATTTTAACAAAAACTCAGTAGCTTCTGAATTAGGGATATTTCAGATTGTCAAGCACCATGACTATGGGCATAAACTTGTCAACTTTCAGGGAAGATTGCAGTCAAGTAATAGGTACCCAAAAAACCACACTTGTTCATATAGTATATGATAGTACAAAACAAAAGAAACACAGGTTGCTATTTTTAGTGCTGTATGGAAAGTTGTGGGGATATGACCTGAATGACACCTACATTGTCTCAACCACACTGAATGTGCTTTGTTGAGTTGGTACTTGCAGGAGTCTGATAATACCAGTTGGGTCAGCAGCCCAGCCCAGAATTCAGGCATTGCTCATTGCATCCTGTCATCTTTCCCCCAAAATTTATACATATGCAGAGTTTACACACATACAGGTACACTGCATTAAATGCATAAAACAGGTAGAGATCTTAGAAGAGCACCTTTGGCAGTAGGATGAAGATGCCATCATGTGCCATCATGATCAGTTGGTGGGAAAGGAACTGCTGACTTGCACAAATGTCTGTGACAGTTGCTGAGAATGCTGTCACAATGGCTTCAGCAAGAATCAAGTGACACAAGAGACCAATGTGTTTTTATTTGATTTATTATATGTACAACACCATGCTCCAGAAACTCCAGAGTCTACTACTACAAGTGCTACATAATATGTGCAGTGAGCTGCCTACTAA